AATATTATATTATATTATATACTCATTTATTATATTATATTATATTATATTATATTATATTATTTTTCTAACTCATTTATATTGTTTTGTTCCTATAAATATTCTTTACGATTATATTTATAATCCGCTATTACTATTTACATGGATACATATGTCACGAAGAACGCGCATGAATCATAGAACTCAAAAGGCAAGCGACAAAAAGTAACAATGTCACACTTGAATTCGACGCCGAAGAAGTCATCTGTAATTTCAGAAGTTGCTCAAAATACGCCATATATCTCAAGAGATGCTCTATTGCATCCATGACACGGTTGTTTTCCTTGGATTCCTTCCCAGCGATTGTCGTTGAAATTGTAGTGGTCTCTGAGTTATCTTCGTTCTGATCGTCCATCTGTTTCCAATCACCGCATTTAGGAAAATTACGAGGCACCGGCGGCATCTCCTCGTCTTCGCCCACCTTAAAGATCAGGGCCATTCCTATCTCCGCGTGAAATTCAATGTGACAGTGAAACAGCCAATATCCTGAAAACATACACAATCAATTGATAATGCATCTCTTTATCAATCAATCTCAAAATAAGTATTGTATTTTATTATTATATTTTATCAAAGAAATTTACAAGCTTAAATTTTCTTTTCTCATTGAACTAGATATACTAGTTCCAAATGCTAAAGTTAAGTAAAATAGAGCCTAAATTGTAATAAAGCAAAATCAGGTTACATAAGCAACTGTGTAATTTCATCTATTAACATTTATTTTTTGTTCACATGTGAAAGAGTTTCTTACGCTTAAGATTTCTTAGTCTTGATTTTTTCCTTTCTTAAAACGCCATTTATCATTCGATGCGATATTTTTAGAGCAAACACTTCGATTATTTACAGTCAAACATTAATGCTTTGGTTTTTTTCTGGTAATATGCATGCCACGTAATCTTACCTGGATTATTGGCGTGAAATCGCACGATGGTGTAACCACCGTCTGGCACGGTCACCGTGTCCTTCAAAGGTGCTCGTGTGAGTGTCCTGTTTATCAAACCTTGCCTGTCTAATTCCTTTACTTCGGCGGCCGTGATGTTACTTCCTATCTTCTCCATCGCCACAACGCGGAACTGATAACCGTGAAGGTGAAACGGATGATTCGCGTCGTACGGAACACCTGAACAAAAATCGTTATTTATGGTTAAATTTAAAGAGACAAAGCTTATAGAGAACAAAAAAATACTTATGAAAGGAGATGCTCGCATACCTTCGTCGATCAAAAGTAGTTCCACTACACTGTTAATTTTCACTTGAAGTACATGGGTACAAGCACAATAATCATTCTTGCATCCCTCAACTGTGCTGGAGTTACAAAACTGATTTGGCTTAATAAGGTTTCTTTCGGGTAGAAGCGGAAATGGTGGTAGCTTCATTGATATGTGATTCAGTTGCGGTGTGAACAAACGCTGTTTCGTATCCTTCACTAAAAAAAGAAAAGAAAATCATAATCAAAATATTTTACAAAATAATAAACGCTTTAGATTTTTGAAAAAATAAATTTATGTATTTATAATGAGTACTTTATATTTTATTGTAATAAAAATTATTGAAAAATTATGCACAGAATGTGAAAGCTTATTTTTTAACAAATTCATATCTCTTTAATGCATTTGACTGTAAGTTTAAAATGTTATGTAAGTACCCAACTAAGTCGGCTGTTTATCCTAATATCATCGTTAGAACGTATCAATGCAAAGCTCATGCTTGTGTATATTTTCATACATCGAAAAAAGCACAATGAAATAGTCAAGTATTTGTGATTGCAAAGATATTAAAATAAAAAGCTTTAAAAAAATTATTTATTGTAACATTTTTGAACTTTACCTTGATGGAAGCCATATAGATTCTTGCGGTGAAAGTGCGGGTTATCTTTCGCGTAAAAATCATACGATATGTAGAACTGATAATCCGGTTCTTTGGTATTCGATACGTCATCGTCGTCCATTGCAGTCAACATCGGGATACTGATACTATTATTCGATTCAGTTCCTTCATTCAGAGCGTTCACTTGCTGAAAATCGGAAACGTTGTCATTTTTAATCACTTGTAAAATAACTTTATGGGTAACGCTTGAAAGAAGGACATAGCAAGGAAATCGTGAAAACGTACCAATCCATAAGAATCATTTCGCACACGATCATATGAAACTTCCACTGCCGGCTCCTCTTCAGGCGCTCCTTCGTATCTAAGTATCGCGACTTGATAGGCGCTTAAAAATCTCTTGTCGCAATCCATCAGTCCTCGAAATCTCATCCAATAATTATCCACTGATTGGTTCATCTCGATTATGAAATCGAACCTCTCGCCGGCATAACTCACTAGCGATTCGGCTGTAATCATTACACAATATATAAGCAACATTTCAACATGTAGATCCTTTTTTATTGTACTTATTCCGCGAATTATTACTTATATATCTTACTTCACAAATCACACATACATTAAAAATTTTACTATAATCGTTAACATAATCAATTTCGAATCGTGTATCTCATTTTATTTAATAAATTGAATTAAAGTATATATTTTGTATGTGTAAAAATATATGCGTTAATTGCAACATTTTTTGATAATTTAACAAATAGTTATAGCATCAGCTTGTTAAAAGAAACTAAAAATAATATTGTGAATGTTAATAAACAGTTTCATTCATTATTATTAGTATTTTTTCGATATTGAATTTTATTATATTATCTTATCTATAATATCGATATTTGAACAAAACTGTCCGTTAACTTTCGCGTTTTTATTAAAACTCTCAATCACTCTTGTGTAGAAGAGTAACATGAAAATAAATCGTACCTTGTATTGGTTCAATATCACGTCCATCTGAGCTGATCACATATAAAGTATGGTTGTCGACGGAAATTTCTATTGGACAGTTCAGGAACTCCGCATTAATAAGCCTGAATCTATACCGAAAATTCTGTAAGCATAAATCGTAAAATTGACTGATATAAATATAAATTATATAATTCTATTAAAAAATAAAAAAATAAAGTTGATCTATTCAAAACTTGGAAACGACTCTACTTATATTAGGATAAAGTTACACTGATCATAAGACGCTACCTCAAAATAAATCAACTTTAATGTGAGACTTTTTTCTCTCTTCTTAAGTGCAATAAAGATATTTCAGACACTTTTTTAATATAGTTTTAATCAAATATTTGTATCTTGCATTTTTTTATAAATGAAACTATTTACAAAAATTTACAAAACAGTAAAAATTTAAAAATTTACCGGTTTTACAACGGATATCGAAATAGGCATATCGGCCAATGTCTCGTTTTCACCTTCGATGGAGGTGAAACGGCCCAGACCGTTTATAAGTAAATTGGGTGCTTTGTTATCACCGTCCGCGTGATGATGCGCTAGAAATTTGGTAAGACCGAGCTCGTGAACCCAATCGGCGACTACTAGCGTATGATCATCGTAGTCATACAGATCCTTGTGCCTGTCAACTTTAGGAGGTACACGAACGATTAACGATCCGAATACGCCGTCGCCTCTCTGAAATCCTGCGGGGGCGAAAAAATATGCGACAAAATATTAGTTATTATTCAATCAAATGGATTAATTAATTTATAAGCAAAATTTCTTTTTCTCTTAAATTTTTTGCTGAGAATGTCATTCTCGATACAACGATACTTGTGAAAGGTTTAGCAAAAGTGGAGACGAACCTATATGAGAGTGCCAGAAATGCGTCCCGGCTTCGCTGGCGATATAATTGTATCGGAAGGTCGCTCCAGGAGGGATAGGACATTGCGATACATAGGGTACACCGTCCATATATGGCGTGGCGAGATGATGCTGGCCGTGCCAGTGCATCGTGGTGCTCTCCGAGTGCAACAAGTTAATCATATCGACCATTATCCTGTCACCTTGGCATACCTATAATTAAAATAATCTTTTTCTAATGTTCTGTTATTTTTAATTAATAGTCTGGGACCCGCGGCATCTGTGGAGAGCTCGCGCGAAATGTCTCAGATAGGACTTCGTTATCAAGCATTTATAATCCACAATTAAAATGATACGACGAGTGATTAGCGGGAGTAAATTACAGTATATTCTTGAGCAAATCACAATTCTATTTTTGTAGCTAATAACTGCAATAAAATTGCATAGCGATAAAAAAAGGAACAAGTATGTATAAAGCCAAGCTAAGTAAACAAACAAGAAAATTTCCGGTTGATTCCTTAGAATCACGTAATTGTGTATTTATCATGTGATCTCACCACAAAATGTATTAATTATAGAGGCTAGATCTGGAAGTGAATCCCAGCGCTATTCTCGAAACAGCGATAATTGTGTTCAAGCTCATGGAAACAATATAAACGAAGTGACGAATCGTGATCTTTTCACGTGATTGACTGAATAAAAAATCTAGTTTATCAAACAATAACACAGAATAAAATAGCCGAAGAGAATTTGTATATTAACTTTGCATTACTCAATACATTAATAATATTAATTAATAATCAATTAATTTCCACGATAAATCTGTACGTGGATTTATTCTCGAATAATTTCTTTTTCTTTATAGTAGCGCAAAAAAATATAAAATATAATTAAAAATAATAAAATATAAAAATATAA